TGATTGAAAGAAATGGAAAATTAATGATCCAACCCTATTATTTTTTGCCAAAATCGTACAAGCCATATAGATGACTCAATTAATATATATACCCCGTGCATCGCACGGGCTATGCACTAGTTATAGGTTAAATGAGGTTGTTTATTAAAAAAAAATCCAACTTGTCTTTCTCTTCCATCTCTTTCACGTGTCTTTCGTCCTGGTTTTGATTTCGTTTTCTAATAAAAGCCTCTCTCAATCAAACACCGCGTCTCTCAAGCATTTTGCGGGCTCCCATTTCCTGTACTGTACCAACTTGTAAGGGCCCACTGAAAACGACGCTATCGGTCGTCGTTCAATCGCTGCGGCCTATAAATAATCGCACCCCAATTCAAGAAAAAAAGGAATAATAATCCAAAACCATAAAGAGAGAAAACAGATTGAAGGAGGAAGAAGAAGAGGTGCAGAATTTACTGCATATTCAATAAAGCTAGCAACTTTTCAAAGTTATTGGTCCATCTCAATTTCTCAAAGTAAAGGTGGGATTTTTATTTTTATTTTATTTTTTAACGAAAGCAATCATTCGAGTAATAGTCGAAACCAATTATTTTGTTATCCGTGGAGAATTTTGTTTCTCCTTCCCATTTGTATAATCCTAGTTTATTTTCTTACTTTTGTTTGTTTGTTTTTGTTAGTCCTGAATCTGATTTTTCTGAATCTGTTTCGTCATTAGTATCTATTACTCTTTGGTCTTTTGATTTTCTGTTGAATTTTGGTGAACCAGACAAAGTATCGGATTGGGTGCTTCTAATTCTCTGGTGCAGACAGATTGTCATCAGTCATTTTATAAGGTTGTTCAGACAAATCAGCTAAGAAACTCCTCTTTATAAAGCTGTTGATAAAGGTAAGAACTTGTGAAGATAATCATTATTCCTAATTAGCTTCATGGCTTAGATGTTAAAATAGCAACCTTCTTTTTTTTTTCTTTTTTCAGCAGATATTTTTGCTTCAATAGCTCAAGAACTTGTCTGTTATTACACGCACCCAAAATTCGATCTCCGTTCGAGTAGCTTCACGAGATAATTCAAAGATGACAACCGGCAGCATTAAACCCACCAAAGAAAGGAAGTCTCGAAAGAGCAAACAGCCAATACTCGACGAAAAATCACCATTGTTACCCACAAAACATGGGGAAGATGGTGGATTTGACGAGTTTAACGGGGCTTCTTTTAGTGGGGCCGTGTTTAATTTATCGACAACTGTAGTTGGTGCTGGAATAATGGCTTTACCTGCAACAATGAAGGTTTTGGGGCTCTTCTTGGGGATTGCCATGATAATATTCATGGCTTTCTTAACAGAGGCCTCGATTGAATTATTGCTTAGGTTCAGCCGAACATCAAAGTCGAGTTCATATGGAGGTCTTATGGGGGATGCATTTGGAAAGTTCGGCAGAATGTCGATTCAACTGTGTGTATTGGTCAACAACATTGGTGTTCTTGTGGTGTACATGATTATAATCGGTACCTTTTGAATTAATTTTTTTTTTTTTTTTTTTANTTTGTCTCATTATATATACTTCTCTATCGAATTTGTATTTATGTTAGTTTTTGGGTGATTGGTGAACTTAAGGTGATGTGCTTTCTGGAACAACATCTGATGGAATTCATCATGCGGGTGTTTTAGAAGGTTGGTTTGGAGCATACTGGTGGAACGGGCGTTTTTTCGTGCTTCTTATTACAACTCTTGCCATATTTGCACCTTTGGCCAGCTTAAAGAGGATTGGTGAGTCTTTTTGCTATTAGAGAATTGGTTTGGATCTTGTTTTAATTGAGAAGCTTTCTTGCACTGTTCTGTAAATGTATTGGCATATATGATATGACAACTCACTATGGATTGATTTATGGACATTTATTGGTGATTGAGAGAGATACGTGAGCTCTTGCAAGTGATAGTATGCTTTATTTCAAGAATATTCATTTTTCTATAGATCTTGTTTTAATTGAGAAGCTTTCTTGCACTGTTCTGTAAATGTGTTGGCATATATGACATGACAGCTCATTATGGATTGATTTATGGAGATTTATCGGTGCATGAGAGATACATGAACTCTTGCAAGTAATAGTATGCTTTCTTTCCAGAATATTCATTTTTCTATAAAAGTGAACTTATCCAATTAATATGCACTTCAGAATCATAGCAACGAGAAAAATAAAAAAGGAAACTCACCCTGTATTGTTGGGATATAAATTTTCTGAAATCATAGAATATTTCAATTATTGGTCCTTTTTATCAAAAATACTTTTTTCTTCCCATTTAGCTAATTCTTCCTTAAAATTTTGTCTTTGCAGATTCATTGAGATACACTTCTGCTTTATCAGTGGCACTGGCTGTAGTGTTTCTTGTTATAACTGTGGGCATCACAGTCTTCAAGTTGATAAACGGAACTACGCTTATGCCTCGGTTATTTCCAGATGTCAATAATCTAACATCATTCCTCAATCTCTTCACTGCTGTCCCTGTTCTTGTCACGGCTTATATCTGTCACTACAATGGTATGCATTAATTTGTTTTTGTTGAACTTGAAAACTTCTGGTTTCACATTTTGCACTTATTGAGGGTTTCTTTGNAAAAATCTCCACATAAAGTTTTTAGTGGTGACCGTATAAGGAAATATTTCGATGAAGGACCCCGATTTCATTTGTTAGTTTTATCTCAGCTTTGGGCTCATTTTTTCGACTTTCTCAATTCACGGCTTGAATTTTTTTTCCCATTTGTTTTGCACCTTCTTCTTGCTTTGGTTTCTCAACTAGAGGCTAATTTGAATCAAGAAGGCAAATAAATAAATAAATAAATAAATAAATAAATAAATGCATTTTTAGTTGTGTTGGTTTAACGTTATAGCAATTTTAGTCCCAAGTTTCGAACTTTTTGCTTTTTTGGTGTGTGATTTAATATTTTGATGCAATTTCAGTCCTCAACTAGAGGCTAATTTAAATCAAGAAGGCAAAAATGCATTTTTAGTCCTGTTGGTTTATTGTCATAACAATTTTACTTCTACGATTCTAACTTTTCGCCTTTTGATCATGTGATTTAATAATTTGATGCAATTTCAGTCCTTTGAGGACTGAAATTGCAATAAAATTTAAGTAATGAATTCCAACAATATTTTAAATGATAGGACTTAAATTGCTAATCAAAAATCTGGGAATTCGTTGCAAATTTCAGTTCAAAAAGGACTGAAATTTGCAGCAAAATATTAAATCACATGACCAAAAAACAAAATGTTGGAACTTGTAGGACTAAAATCGCAATTTTGCCAATCAAGAACTTCGAAAAAAAAAAAAA